ATAACTGTATTTATTAGTCCGGATTACATATACGTGATAAAATAAGATATTTTGTGCCAGTAGCTTGTTGCAAACATTAAATAGTATCATCAACGAGAACTCGCAAGTAGAAATTGCACGACGGAAACTACGCGGAAACTAATTGCCTTTATGGTGGCGACACAGCAAGATGATGCTGTTAGACGCGCGAGTAACTCTCGCTTCGCGATAGAAACATCTTAATCAGTGACTTACAGCAAATTATATCTCGAAGTAACAAAACTAGAAAAAACTAGAAATACTTTTCCGCTCGACGATCGGTTAAAGGGGGCGATGTAACGCCCGAAGTGCGACGGCAAAAGTCAATTAATGCTCGCAGTATAGTTCCGGAAGTGTCACGAAATGGATGTTATATAAATTTCATTGCACGGGATTAATTTATCTACCAGAGGAGATTGAATAAACAATGGGATTTATTGTTTTAACGTGAGACAAAGGATGCCATAGTGACGGATGCCCCCTTGCCAATCTTCGGGAAATGAATGCGACGCTGCGAGGAGGAATTAATACAATAATGGACGCAATTACACAGGTACAAAAGACGGCGAGGGAGGATCAATCGAAGGAGCTGAGCCCGGCGGGGCAATAAGCGCAAAGAGACCGGGCGCAATGCAGACTTCGATCGGGAAGTCGCCGACACGGAATACGATTGCGCGCGTCGGGAAACTTTCGAATTGATCCAAATCGAGGTGGCTCGTCGCTCCGGCAAAAAAAAAACCGATAGCCGTTTGATCTGTTCGCGTTTGCAGCAAAAGCGTTCGGAATGAAAGCAGCTTAACGGAACGCGAATTGCTCAAACCGGACGACATGCATTCCGCGACAAGATATCGCGGATCGTCGTATATTTTTTCACTTTTTAACTCGTAGTTTCATATTCGCTGCGTTTATAAAACTGCGTTTTTTTAAGTTCTTATAAATGATCCTCGCCGAAGGAAAGAGAGAATTAGAAATTATAAGGGATTTCTGCAGATAACGCATATTCTCAGTCGTGTAAAAGTGCTATAATAAAATAATAAAATGTAAAATAAATGTAATCGATGTAAGGTAAATGTAGTAATAAAATAATAAAATAAAATATTATTGTAGAAAAATTATTTATACACATTACATTAATCTTAGAAGTTATATATAACATTACGGATATTATGGATATTCCGCAAGCCATTTTTATCACAAACATATAATGGATAGATTTTGTTTCTACGTGTGTACGAATGTACTTTGTACATTTTATTGCAGATTTTATTTTTATGTGCATATGAATGTATGTGTACACCGTAAACAGCGTAAATTATATCTATTGTGACACAGGGGAAATTCTGACATACGCGTTTCCATCGTGCGTTGATTGAATCTCTTCGTTAATAGCTGCAACGGAAATTGCCGAAATGCATATATTACTGCTTTCTGCAATTTTGTCTATGTAATCTCGCGATACGAGTTGTAATCGCTTCGAAATTGAAATTGAATTACATGAGACGCGGACGAAGTTTCGTTATTAATTAATCATACTCCTCGGATTGCGGGCTGCTAAATCGCATAAATTCGTTTTCCCCTATCGATTACGCTATTCACCAAGGATTTCGCAACTAAATCAAATTGAGAAACTGATAGAACTTTGTAATTTCTGAATATGACAATCTCTACTTTTAATCACTTTCACAACAGAATCATTTCTAAATCTAATCTTTTTGTCACACCATCCGTATGCGGTCTTAATATAAATGATATTGATCTTCTATTAACCATAACGCTTTTAATTATGTACTACATTTGACGTATAAAATTTCATCAGTAAAACGCAAATTGGAAAGTTTTGTTAAAGTAAGTTTTTTTTTCAATCAATACACCTACTAATAAAACGCTATATGTGAAAATCACAATTCGACGTTGTTTTCACGAAAAAAAAAAAAACAATACTATAGTTTCATCGGGGAGCAATATCAGCCATGTTCGCAATATTCCGTACACCCAAGTTGAAAGTAATTAGAGCACAAACGAAAGGTGGTTCAAACAAGCCATTTCTCATTAATGCCGCTTTTTGTGCGCCCGTGCTAGCCGTTTTTCGGTTGCATTTTTTGTTGCCTCATGTATTCCCGAACATCAGTAGACACGATTTTAAAACACGTGATTCGACTTTTGACAAAATTTTTACCGCCGATCGACAGAATCTGAATGGCAACAATAGTACGAAAGAAAAAGGAGAAGAAAAGAAATAATTAGCGCGGTAAACGTCGTCAGCTACGACAGAGACAAACTAGCGAATAAACATAGTGCAAAGTAATCACGCTTCATTTTCATTAGCTTTATTAACGGACCCGCGGCTATGCGCGAAATTAGTACCTTCCAATTTCAATTAAATTCTCTTCACAGCGCCCGCGTCGGAAAATGGTTGAAAGTAAATTACACGGTACGATACAATTCCAACTATAAATAATACAGTGGTAATCTCCAACACAAGCGGCAAACTTGTCCTCCCCCCCTCTCTCTCTCTCTCTCTCTCTCTCTCTCTCTCTCTCTCTCTCTCTCTCTCTCTCTCTCTCTCTCTCTCTCTCTCTCTCTCTCTCTCTCTCTCTCTCTCTCTCTCTCTCTCTCTCTCTCTCTCTCTC